GCGGGAGTCAGACCTTATCTCCGTGAGTGATCAGGCTTATCTCCGCGCTAACACACACCTGGTGAGATAGGTTCGTCAAGCTGTTGACACCAGTCAGATTAGTACTACCGCCGTGATCATAAAGCAACCACTTCCCTTTCTTTTAGACCGTGGTGACATAAACCAACTAGAACCAGAAATAGATAATATTCGACTACAATATCTTCCATAGTGTCTACGCTAAACAAACCAATATCCTAACGCCTTGTGTGTTAGAATATATTACCGCAGGCATTTTATCTCAGAACAGATAACACATACAGACCTCTTCTTCAAAGGTCATTAACAATGTAATCCTTTTTTTAACGGAAAAGAACATTGGTAATAAATGACAGGTCCGTTTAGGAAAACAACGTTATAGTATGCTGGTCGTATGGAAAACTTCATATCTACCCATTAGTAATCATCACTGCGTTTATCAAAAAGTAAGCAAATGCATGTCACAGTAAACGCTTCATAGTACATTTCCTAAAGGTAACGGTATTCTGAGACCCAACTTTTCCGATGATAAATGATAGAAACAATCTTCCATCTGTATTTAACACCAATTAAGTCATTTCATCTTGCTGTTTTTAACTTAGTGCTTACTGGAATCATTGTGAGAGCACATTTACACTAAATTGTCACGACTATGACTGTCAAACTTTAAAAAGGTCACGCGAATACATTTTAACCGCTATAAAGACATCTAAACACTTGGTTTGATATCAAGTTTTATAGTCTTTCTGAGCCGTTTCTTAGGTCAATAAGTGTATATACAAGGATGAATATAAAGACTTTTTTATTATTCCTTTACATCCCTAGTGGAACATGGGGATTCAGACTAGAGGTTTCGATAGCAGTGGTATTTATTTTTCTTTACAGGATGGGTTTGCTAGCCTCATTCCTAACCTTCGCTCTTTACCAATCTTATTACTGGCTTAGAGGGGTAAAAGATTGCGTCGGTCGAGGCTTGAATCCCGATATGAAGACGTGTCTGCGTATTAATATACTTCCTAATTTTTAATTCTAACCAGGATATACATGAACCTTCTATGTTTAAGTAACTTGAAGATTCTTTGAAAACGGTGAAAATTTCCAGCTGTTGAGACATACAGGTTAACAGTTACCTCCAATTTTAAGTTGATTTCTTTATAAGTATCTCACAAATATAACATACGCATGACTCAAAGCACTAGTTTCATGGGAATGCTATTCGGCACACTGCTAAAATACCCAAATACAAATATTAAGTATGTGGATATACGTGAAGCCAATTCTACACATATCGTAAAAATTGGAGTTGTTAGAGTAAGATGATGCAAAGCTAGCAAAAACTTAAAACAATGCAGCTGAAACAGAACGGAAATGAAGGGAATTTAGACAATTAAAAATGATTGTGCAATTAAGGTAATCCGGTTAGTTAAATTCCGTTTTGAGAAAGCTAACAACCATCAAAAAGGAATACCATTTAGTGACTGGATACCCGTAAGACCTAGTTGATTATAGATGTGTTTATCAAATGAAAGCCAGATTCAGTTCAAAGAGGGTTAAAATTACAGCTTACATTGCTTAAAGTGATAATGCTAGAAAACGTGATATGTCTACTTGCTCTTTCTTGTACCAGAAGGTTACAAGCTAAATTCAATGTTTGTCAGATGATGATACTATCCACTTGATGAATCTGATGAAGGTTGAGTAAGACATAAATCCGGAACCCAATTAGTTAAAATATGAGTGCTTAAGTCAACAAGACACCTCTTCTCAATCCATCAACTTTATACAAATATATATATTCTAAAATTCCCTCAGTTCTTATTACTAATCAAGGCTAGTAACCCATTTCCACCAGTCAGTCTAAAGAATTAACATCATGTAATACTAGTTACTGATGTCCAATCAAAATACCCACTACAGTCCTACAGAAGGTCAACTGCGAGCTCGCGTAGCTGTGGTAACGTTTCTGACTGACTGCAGCAGTGGGTGACGCGGGTTCGATTCTCAGAAGGGACATGAGTTCCTTCAACGTTGCAGATACGCCTTGCTGACTGGTGAGTGCCAACTGGCACGAAACCTAGGTCGAGCAAGGTTCCCTGTGGCCGATTGCCTCCAAATATCTAATATCATCAAATCAATGTGCACCGTGATGGCGAGCTACCTAAAATGGTGGCCACATTGCAAACCTGACTGATAGAATTCAGTCTGCACCAAAGAAAGGAGACTAGACACGTCACACTAGTTACTAGTGTCTAGTCAAAGTAATATCATATTTGTTAGACCTTAAATATGTGCTGATGTGTCATAATATGCATGCCTAAAGATATACGATATCTTAAACACGAGTTTCTCAATCCCAGAATACGAATATCTCTAAGTAGATCAAGTAGCCCATGGTAAGCAAAGGTCGAAGGTTATTGTTTTATATACACATAGTTTAGGATACATGTAATTAATTCACAGAGCTCCGATCACTTTTAATAACCACCTTGAATTAGAGAGTTATGTGAAGTAGTTGAGAAACAGTCAATACTACTGATTTTGTAACTAGACCCTAGTAAATTTTTTGCAATAGACGACTGTGGATTCCTATTCAGATTAAATACATTTAGGCTTTCTATGTGACTTATTAACCATTTAGGAATATGTTCTTTTCAACGACATTCGAATATCCTATTGGTTCAACCTATATATATGTGAAACTACAGACCTTCATCAACAGTTGTCTTCACTCAATACTTCGCTCAAGATCAGACGGCCGGCCAGAAAAGATCAACAACAGGGATCTCTGGGACTGAACCAACCAGGAACCGATTGTGCAACAAATAGGCAGGAAGAAATGAAGATGGATTGGCTGGCCATACTCTGAGAAAACGAGCCATCAAGTGACATCACTAGACAAGCCCTCGAGTGAAACTCAAAAGGGAAGCGGCGAGTTGGTCGTCAGTGCAAGGGTGACTTGGAGGAGGTCATGTGAAGAGGAGATGAAAGCGTGTGTGGGCAGACTTGGAGCCAGGTGAAAACTCTAGCAGAGAACCAAACGCAATGGAGGTGCGCAGCTGAAGCCCTATGCTCCTCTAGGATTTAAAGGAAATTATATATATATATATATATACAGAAAAGAGATGAGACGTAGAATAGCTTACTAAACCCTTTAAATTATCAACTGCGTGATTTGAGGGATGGCTAAATAAAGCATACCTTTCTTTAATACGGAATACATGAATGAATAGTTATCAGTGTGTATGCACCTTCGTTCTATATACAGCTGAGTAATGAATTGTTCATACTAATCCTTTAATCTATTTCTCAAATCGTTACGAAAACCTACTGAAATCCCGAAATTCACAAAGAAATACCAAAAAAAAAACAAAAGAAAAACGAAACAACGATGTATGCATGTATGTATCAAAATTCATATTGAGATTATCATGTACAAATGGCGTAGAGGCAAGGAAAATAGTAATAAAAAAACAAAAGAAAGAAAGAGATTAAAAGTCAGAAGAGTAAATAAAGAGAAAGGTGATAGTGGATGGTTAGAGTATGTGTTAAGGAGAAGTAGGCGGGGGGATGGGGTTGGCTGGGGCTGAGAGAGACGGCACCAGTGGTGAAATGAAGAAGAAGAAGAAGATTTATGTACAAAAATGAAACACTATTATATATTAGTATACACAACTTTCTTTAGAGCACATCATCAAGATAGCACACGGTAAGTAAAAGAGCACAATGTGAATTAATAATAGTAATCATAATAGTAATGATAAAAAAGCAGTTTCGCTACACCAGTCAGAGCGGTAAAACCTCACTGTGTATGATAACTATTTTTTTTTAAAAACGGCTGGGGTAAAGGATTATTATTGGGAAATTTCAGTTCAAACTCTCACCGTCACACGTGTTGATTCATGATGGATGAGAATAAACAGGAATCAGGAAATAATTGTGTATGGTAGTAAGAAATAAGGGAAAACTGGCGGGGGGGCGAGACGGGGGAGTAGTAATAGTTGTCGGTATTGTGTGCTTTGTTCTTCTTATTATTATATATATATTACACAATTATTCATAAAAAAAGAGGAGAATGGCGCTTTATTATTAAAAGACAGTTAAAGGAATTAGCATTAACACAGGATTGCAAGGAAAAGAAGCAATAATTACAATATTACACTCAGATATATAGATTATTAATATTATTTATCATATATGTATAAATATGTCTGATTTCAAGCGTGTATGTATATACTACTCAGTATAAAAGAAGCTTGTTTAGGCAATACTAAGGTGGAATTTTTACAGTTTACTATCGCAGGATTAAACACGCACACACGCGCACACACACACAGAGCAGTGCAGAATAAGAGTCTGAAAAAGAAGGATAAAATATGTATACGGAGTCTGAAAAGGATTATTATTCCATTTTCATCATAGCGTTGATTGTTTCTTGTCTTTGATGGTCTGTCCATAGACAATAGGATGAATAGGTATCAGTATTTAAAAATAAAAAATAATAATAACAGTAATAACTCACTAACAAGATAATAAATATATCAAGTTTGAAGTTGGATCAAGAGGAAGAGGGAGAGAGAGAGAGGGTAAAAGGAAACCCATCCTCGCACACCCACCCACACATATACCCAAATATGGAGTTGGCCGACTAGCTGTCCAACCAACGCAGCCTTCAACAACCACCATCACCACCACCACCACGACTACTCGATTCTTCATAAAAACAATTAGAAATGTACAATTGATGTAATGATGTAAAAAGGCATTTTCGCTGTTGAGTGAAAAAAACAAACTGGTAACAAAAACAACAATAATAATAATGAATCTGGGCGAGAATGTGAACACCATTCTTTTTAGAAGGCAATAAAGTCATTAAAAGTGGGGTTGTTGTTGTTGTTTTTCAAGGTAAAACATTCACATATCACTACTATATATCTTCATCATCAATAAGAATAAGGACAGAGGAGAACTGCTCCTTATGCGTAATATATATATATATTTAATAAAAAGGAAGGATAGAAACAAAGAACAAAGAAATATTACTATAATTATAAAAAAGGCAGTGAGAATTAGTTGTTATTATTAACAGCATTGTCTACATTGTGTGATCACATCGAACTAAATTAAACAGACAAGCAAACGAGGACATAGAGACGACATAAAAAGGAAGAAATATCAACAATATGACAGCAGAACAGAACTGTTTTAGAAGGGAAAAAATAACGGAAAGAAAAACACAAGCAGTACACACTCACACACACACAGACACGAGTAAAACATCGAAAGAAGAGCACTTTATATTATTATCACTGCAAACAACGCGAATAGAATCACAGGAAATCTATCAATCACTATTTACCTACGACGGCGACGACGATTATCCCTACTGTTATTCAACCAGAGACTGTCTTCCCACTTAAAGTTAATCCATCAATGTCATCATCATCATCACAGGGAATTATTTCCGACTGATACAGCCTGACTGGCTGATCCAACAAAACAAAAAAAACGAACAAAGCAGATCACTGTAACACAGTACGAATTGAAAAAAAAGACAAAAATGAATAGTCAATAAGTAAACAACAAAGGATCATGCATAATCATTAGTATAACAGGCACACATGAAAAAGGAATTAAATGGAAGGTTGTGTGGTGTGTGCTTGTGAAGGGGGGGGTGAGTGGGTAGGTAAGTTCCAATCTCTTTTTCGTCGAGAGTCCATCTCCTCCTCTCCCTCCCTCTCTCTCTGTGTAGTTTCAAACACAATCATGATTAGAGATAGTTGGCGGTAAAAGAAGAAAAAGAAATAGGCTCTATCACCACATAAATCACCATCATCATGATCATATTCGTTCCTACAGGGACCATTGCCAGGGGTGAGGAGATCTGTGTGTGTGTGTGTGTAGTGGAATTATTAGTCTACATTCTTTTTAAAAAATACTGCGGTTTAAAAGAAGAAAAAGATAGAACAAAGTCACAAAAACTAGTTGTGAATGTTTGTCCGTGTCCGTGTGTGTATGTTTGCATGTGTGTAAGGAACTCAGGTATCCAGAGATTACAAACACCGACTAGGGTGATAATAAGAAAATAAATAAATTAATTATACAATTAAATAAATGAACATAATTATAAATAAGGATATTATTCTACAGTGAATTTGTAAGCAGTAGGGAATAGGATATCAAAGGGGAGGAGTGGAATACGGATGGGAGGGGTGCATGTGTGAGGGGTGGGGTGGGGTGGGCAGAATACAGAAAAATATCTCTATTACAATTGTTATTGTTTATATTTAAAACAAGAGCGCTTAAAATGCACCATTATTATCAATATTATTGTTATTACATAACTATTTCACATCAAATAATGGAAAGTAATATCAGAGAAGCAAGTGATAGAGGGAGGGGCAGGACGAGAAGAAGAAGAAGAGAAAATATGTGTTGATGTGTGTGTATGTATGTATGCATGTATATAATTTGTCTTTCTTCTTTGCTTCTATGCAGTTTTCTAAAATGATATGAGTTGTAATATTACAATGACAAATAAAAATTATATCCTAAGAATTTTGTAAAAAAAGGCAATAACACGATGTTAAGCATAGCACACACAGTAGAGTATGTATGTATAGCGCGTAAAATATACATAGCTGTGGTGCCGCCTCAAGAGAGTGTGGTGCTGCTACTGACCAGTAGCTTCTCCAATAATCGTACAAATAATAATAGCAATAATAATAATGATTAGTGGTAATAGTAATAATAATAATATTATACATCTAATTTCATATAGTTAAGAAAAACTATTAAAATATAACTTAAACTTTTGTTTTCAAGATGAAATAATAATAGTAAACTGATAAAATAGTAAGAGATAGGCAGAGAGATGCCCCATATTATTATTATTATCATAATTATCAACTGTTTTGTCTCACTGTAATATGACTTTCTCCACTTCTATCTTCACTAGGTGAACTACCATTACTCGTATTACTATGTCGAGATAAATTACCCGATGGTGAATCACGTATAGATATATGTGAATTAAAGTCAATTGCTGAACGTGAACGAAACTCCAATGGGGGACGATCACGTACAGCTTCTTCAAAATCTTCTAATGATTCAATATAACATTGTTTTTCTAATAAATAATTGATTGTAGTTCTAGGCAATGGTAATTGATCAATATGATCACGTCGAATATAAGATAAAATAGTGAATCTTGTCAAATGTCGAAGGGAGGCAACAACCTAAGAACAAAATAAAGAAAAGAAAAGAAATAATTGAATATAAGGAAGGTTATATACATAGAACTTATTAGCATTATACAAATAATATACAATAAATTACACTGATTGATCACTATGGTTTTAACCCTGGTTTGAATTCCATAGAGAACATAAGTTCCTTCAAGGTTGCTTTGCTTAAGTGTATAAGTTTAGTTTAAGAAATTTGCATTTTGGCACGCCAAACTGAACGCTTTCGCCTTCTTGTAAGTAGTATATAACTCAGTTGTGTAGATGAAAATAAGTTTTAGTGAAAGTTTATCCTGAATTTCTGCAAAAATTAACCTTTTCTACTGAAATATGTAACAAATATGAATTCATGGACTGACGGGTTTCAATGTAGAACTTTGCACAGAAGAGCGGCAAGTTCAAGTTGCCACACTTCATGTAGCTCACAAAGGAAGAGAGAGAGAGAAGTGAAAAGAGATTCAAAAGGGAGATGATAAACGGAAGTGTGAGTGAGGGAAAAAGAATAGTAATATGGAAGAAGAAGAAGAATAGAATTTTATTGGATAGGACAGATCACAAAGAATGGAAATGCATCTGCACCAGCCAATTTTGAGCCATATCACCAATTGTCTCCAGTCACTGATGTTTACCATCCCGAAGACCCTAACCAGTCAGGAAGTCTACACCTCCCTACGTGACTGCCTTAAACTAACTGTTGTGGATATCATTGACTGATCAAGTTGTATTTTGGTGTGACCACCACCAACTAGCTCTTTTCCAACCTGATCCATCTTATGTCAGTCAGCTTACATTGCTCGTCAAGGAAGGCGATGGCTAGGCTAAGCATGCTTAACACATATCCTAAACATCTCAATCAGCGTAACTCCACAATCTCGACGATTGATTTCCTCTCCTTACCTAGCATTTCAGTGATGCCTTACCTCAATATTGTTCACCTTACTATACCACTTAACACCGGAGATAAAAACGCAGACACCTATGATCAAAGACAGCTAGCCTTTTCGTATCTTCCGCTTCCAATGGTCATGTCGTACAGACGTAAAGAGTAGTTCATTGGGAAATACAACAACAATAATTACAATTATTGTCCACCTACGTCTAATTTACCCTTTCAATTTTGTACTAGTTTACAAATGAAAAACCGCCACAGAATTAATAATTTACCACCTTAAAAAGTGTAATACAAGGAAAGGATACTCGACAAATGTGGATAAATAAACTTTATGTTATATATGATTCAAAGACTTGTTACGCAAATCACGAAAAGCATTTCCAACAGGATGAAGACACCTATAGATATGATAGAGAAGATTTGTAGCTCAGGTGGATGATTTTGATGTGGTTTTGTACTTCAAATTGAAGTATGCGCTGAAGATGTCACCCAGTAGGGTGATGAAAGCCTCGCAAATTAACCATCCAGCTCAGAGAACAAAACCACATCAGAAGACACCTATCGACAACTGCAATTGCCTGGCCAGTTAGAAGGGATTAGCAACAAGGATCTCTGTGGCAACGAACCAACCAAGAACAAAGGAAATGAATAGGACACACACACGCACTGTGAAGAGACCTTTGAGTGACAGCATGAGGCCAGGGCCATTGAGTACAACCCGAATAGAGAGCAACAAATCATGCATCTGAGAGTGTCTTGAAGGAGATCGTGTGATCAGGAAATGACAGTCTACGAGCATTCATGAAGGCAAATAAGAAAAAAGTATTCTGCTCCAAGCCCAAGGGAATAATAGCAATAATTAAAACAATTAATAGCAGCAGTAAGGGTGAAATTGGAAGTTAGTTAGGTGGTAATGGCATTAGGTGTTGTTTATACTTCAAAAGTACTTTCTAATTTTCAAATGACTCATTTAACCAAAGAAATCATAATAATTGTTTACTATTTTGACTAATACTCTCGTCATTATCATCATCTTAATCATTCATTAACCTACATGATTCAGTTGTTTACTAAGGCCTTTTACTTTACAATTTGAGAAAGGAATAAAAGATATTGAGAAGTTGTTTATCTCACAAGCCATAGAAATTAGTAATAACATCTATTATTATTATTCCCTTGGGTTACGAGTGGAAAGTAGGGCTACAACAAAACATCTCCGCTTTGTTCTATCTTTTTCTGTCCTCTTCAGCTGGCTAGCCACACGACTACCAATAATCTCTAATCCCCTCCTCACCACACGATCTCTCCCAGATCGCCCTCGCACCGACGACCAACTCGTCGCTTCCCATTGGCATTCCACAGGAGCAATGGCCTGCATTTGCACGCGATGTCATTCGACGGCCTCCTCAACGTATGCCCGATCCATCTCCAATTCCTCCTACATATTTGTTCAGCGATTGGTTCTTGTTTGGTTTGTTCCCAGACAGAGTTTCTTTTTGCTAATTCTTTCTGCCTGGTCGGCCATTTGATCTTCAGTATGGAGCCAACTAACGAAGGCAGCTGTTGGTTGACAAAAGTCTGTCACTTGCTGGAAAACCATTTTGTGACACGCTGGCCAAGTTTCAGACCCGTATAAAAGGACCAACTTGACATTGGTGTTGAAAATCATAATCTTGTTCTTTATGCTAGCTGAGCGAAGCAGAAGATTTCCAAATTGGTTTCAGGCTGATGAAGGCGCGTATCTTGCCTTTTCGATTCTAGCTGACTGGCTTTAACATCACTATCCATTTCCGTTGCCTGTGGTTGAGAAACGATGCGTCCTAGGTAAGATAAGGAAGTAAGCTCTGTCAAATCTCTCCGGTTGATGGTGATCGTTGGTTATCCCTCACCATCTCCATCTTCTCTATGTTCACCTGAAGTTCTATCTTCACTACTAGCCTCTTCTGCCAGTTTAACATTAAACAAAGTATGACCTGCAAAATCCAGATTTTCTAGAGTCATTTTATCAGTGACCCTTCCAACTCACACTCTAACGCATAATTCAGTTCATCATACAATTTAGGAATATCATAGGTGCAGTAAACATGCAGTAAAAAAACCCACATCTAATTAATATGAAATGAAGATATTAGCATACATATACAATATCCATTGGCATAGCGACGTCACAATAATAATAAAAAAAAAATAATAATAATAATAAACAAAGCAATATACTTGTACATATATGTACATGACACAGGGAGAAGTCAGTGAGTGAGTCAATGAGTCAACGGGAACACTTAACCAATTGAGAAATACTATATATGATGATATAGATACATAGAATAGCCAACATAAAGTAATTTTATTGTAAGGATTTATCTTCTTCTTCTTCTTCAAAAGTTCATTTAAATATCTGACACAATGAAAACAAAAATAAAGAGGAGCAGAAGACAAAAACAAGTTGGAACACGTTGAATACACCCACGCACAAACACAGAGACACACAAAGTGAACAATGAATAAAACAGTGAATTGTATCAAAGTGACGAAAGAGTAAGACAGTGAATAAGTGAGAGAGAGAGAGAGAGAGTAAACACCCTCATACCTAACTAATATAACATCTTGTCATAATAATATGAATATGAAAGAATTAACCTAAGAGATACAATTTTTCTATCTCACGTGAATAGATTTCACCTTGAAATGACTAACATACATACATACATACACACAAATATGCACACAAACAACGCACGCACGCACGCACCCCCCCAACCTCTACACATAAAAGACGTCAAGACAAACAAACACTAAAATAATACTTTCACATTCCAAGAACGAAAATTGAAAGCAGAAAAAAGAAAGAAAAAAACTATCACGAAAATAGCAGATCAACCCACCCACCACCACCCAGCTAGCTAGCTAGTTAGCCAACTATCCTCTTCAAAAAAAAAACGAAAATTCAAACAGGAAAGCTATCCACACCGATAAGGTGGAACACGTCTTCGTGTATAGTGTGGTTTTTCAATATCATTATAATCACCATTATCTATCATGAAATCCTTCGTCAACCAGTTAAAACAAATAATTCAGGATGTTTAAAAAGTGGGACAGTAGAACAAAACTATAGATAGTGAGACAGATGAATGGTTAAAATCCCTTTTTTTAGAAAAATAACAATCTGTGAGTAAAGACATTATGGAGGAGGGGAGGGGGAATATTATCGATTTCCAAAAACAATGAGTCATGATAGATAAAAGTTGTAGTAAGTAAGTAGGTAAGTAAGTAAGACTAATAATTAATACAACTACAACAGATAGAGCACGAACAGGTTTATCTGATGAGAACAAAACAAAAGCTCAGTGTAAACAAATACCGCATTTAAAACAAAAGCTTAGAAAAAGTTAAATTTTGCAAAACTGTTGTTCAATGTTCATAAATTCATTATTCGTGCTTTATAGTTAAGAATTCTTGATATCCATCTGACTGACTGACTATGGGGGAGGGGGTATAGACTGAAGAGGATAGGATCCGTCTCATTCACACCGCAAACACACACACACACTCCCTCTCTTTATAGACTGCAAAATACGAAATGCGTGGGTTAAGATAAACTATATCAGTCATCAAATTAATCTTGAGTGAGCAATCTGAATAAACGACTGTAAAAATTCACGAATTCGCTGACAAATTGTATATTTAAATGGTTAAACTGTTCTGCCTCACTTTAATCTCCTAACCCTAATATAACCCGTAACTTATACTGCATTCCTGACTAGTGATAAGATTGTTTCTGCTAGGTGATTTGGTGGTTCCTATAATTTATCTTCACCAATCTATGAACACTATTGTTGAGCAATATTAGTTGATGTAGGAGTGAGTTGGAAAAGAGTTAGGTATGCTCAAATCAGAGTATCACATCAAACCATGAAGTCTTTGGTTGTTGGTTTGAGCCAGCTATGTAAGGAGGTGTAAACTGCCTGGTTGACTGAAGTCCTCGAGAGGCTAAGAATTAAATGACTAGAGACTGTTAATGATATGGCTCAAAATTATTCTCAGGGGCGCAGATACATTGGCTATTTGTAATCTCTCGGATGTATTAAGTCTTAATGATTCT